TCTGCACACACACAACACGGGAAATGAAAACATCTACACCGTGCCAGTGCGGGTTGTGGAAAAGTGAGATATTCAGATGAGGTCTGGTCCAGAGACACATCATGTTTTCCTGGAAAGGCAGCGAGAGAGAAGGTGCCTGTTGGCCCTCGTACCTTTTCACAAGTGAAGGAGGAAGGGAGCCGCTCACTGTGCTGGTTTCCCCTCCTGGCAGAACATGCTGACTCATGAAACTGAAGCCATCTGAAGCCCGGTGAGCTGATTGAACAAGATCCTGCTGAACAGCTGCGCTTTGGTGCGAGTTATTTATCTTTACGTTCACAGATTTCCACCGTGCTCAGCTCACAAGCTTAGGAGGATTGAGAGTAAAGCAGGGAGAAGGGTTCAAGACCCAGAGCCAGACATCATCTTCATCAGCTCCATGGTAGATTACACGGCCTGCTGCTCTTTGACCGCTGCTGTTATATCAAGCAGATATGTCAGGATTTACTGGGACGAATATCATGTGCTTCCTCCCCTCTGCCTCTGGAAATAAGCATCACTGGAGCAGACAAGAGTGAGCTTTGTGCGATCTGTTTGTCTTTGCGTTCTGCCGGTCATACATCAGACCTCGTGTCTCCATACAGACTGGAAATTAAGATTTTCAGGTGTGGTCATGTGCAGAGTCAAACCACACTGGAGGTCACAACGTTGTTTTAGCAGCAGTGGCTGAGAATAGCTGATGACTGTCAGACTGTCTGTGGCACCTCCAGATGACTGCACGAGGAAAATATTTGTTATATAGGCGTCCACACAGTTGTGTCTGTGCTGCACTGCAAATGACTTGTGAATTTCCCCACTGGCCTGATGGGGATTCAAACCAACAAATTCCCTCATTAACGAGAGTCGAGTTCATGTTTCGGTTGAATATCTTGCCCAAGGACTCTTTGGCACACAGAATTGACCTGCCAACCTTCTGGTTAGAGGGTGACCGCACTACCCCTCAGTCAGTGGTTTGATAATAAAGTCTGATATCATCTCTTCTCAGGCCCCATCCCTTCACCATGTTTTGCAAACAAACCAATGCACATGAAAATATAACCTCCTTAGATTAACTAATACTATCCTTCCTTTTAGACATTTAGACATTTTAGATCCCAGTACTTGAAACTGAGCAGCGAGCAACATCTGAAGGAACTGTTTGCAGAGCCCACTTTTGGAAAACCACAATCACGTGGGGGAGGCTTTGCTTTAAGCAGCTTCTTTTTTTTTATCGTTTCCTTGTTTAGACATGCCCAATTGCTCTGTATGCTAGATTACTGTATGTGTTCAGATGTGGTCGAGCATATCCAGAGACGCTCTCTCTGAGGAGCTGAGGGGGGTTACAGAGCAGTGCTGTGATCCACGCTGCCTGCACAGCTCTGGGGCTTTTTCCCAGGCTGAGGGCCCCAGAAATAGCGTCTGCCCTGCTCCTCTCCTGCAGTGAACCACAGTTTCCCACTCTTTCTGAGAGCCCAGGGTCCCAGTTGAGTTAAACATGCGCAATCCTCATGTCCGACCAGAGGCCTTGTATGGCTTACTAAAGTATAATGTGCCTCTTTCGTCATCTCACTGAAACAGTCTGTGAAATGTGTGGAGTTTAACTGAGAGAAAAAGATTTTTGCACCAGTATTTTCAAATAAATTCCAGGATTAAGATATTTTATATATTATACAGTGTATTCTGGTTATGGTTGCTGCTGTAAAATTCTTTTTAAACGATTGTAGGTTATAAACTAATTGTCATACACTTCGTTAACCATTTCCACACACAAACTCCGGAAAATGTCAGGGACCAGTACATAAATCATGTGTTTTTTGCAGCATCGACACTTTGGTAATAAGAATGGACACCGCTGCCACATATTCAGGTTATTTTTCTCATATGGGCTCAAATCGATTATTTCCTGGGCTGGCCATTTGCATTCTTATATACAGCCCCGCTGAATAGTTTCAGGAGAATGTTAAGTTAAGGTCTGAAAGCACGGTTAGCCTTTTAAAACATGAATAAAACAACATCTCTGTGCATGGTCATTTTTATAAGTAAGGTATTTGCATTGAGACTGACGTTATTCTCATTCTGCACAAAGAGGTTCATTAAAGATAAGGACTCGCTGTGAGAAGACAGATATTAAGGACATTACTGGATCTGAAATAACTTCTAGACCTAGTTATCCCTGATGAAGCCTTTTGAATTTTATAGAACTCTCTCAATTCATTAGTCATATTTGCAAGTAACTGATGCACTGTTCGTGACCAAGTTCCAGAGGTTGCCTTCAACATAAACATAGAAATGTAATGTTTTTTGACTCCATAATGACTTTTTAAATTTATTAAATCAGAGATAATAGACAGAAAATGACAAATGATTGATTATATGTTCAAGAGTTTCTTCCTGTATCATTTAAATCCAACCTCTTGACTATTTTTCGCACCTGAAACATCTGAGCAACAATTTAACCAAACAAAGCTCCACTTCCTTTCCCTGCAGTGTTGAGACTCTAGTGTGAGATCTGGAGGAGGCCTTTGTTTTTCCAAGACAGGAAAGAGTTAAACAATTAGAGGTTAAAAGTGACTGTGTGGTCCCTGGTGATTACTATTTATCTCGGATGTGATAAGAGAGCTCAGGAAAGAGGGGGCTGGGATGTGGATTAAGACTCAGAGACGCAGTGAGAGGGGCGGTGCAGGGGTGATGCTGTCATAGGTTTGGGTGGAGGGAGCAAGGAGGTGAGGTCATGTTGAGAACAAGGAGGGAAAAAGAAGTGTGTGTGTGTGTGTGTGTGTGTGTG